GAAGGTTTTTTAAGTTGTTAGAGTCCAGGTAGAGCAAGGTTACCGTAAGTTCCTCAAGTGGTCAATTTCATGAGGGATGAAAGTCACCTGGTACTTGAGGCAGCTTTCTTACTCGGGGCTCTTCTCCAAAATCTTTAACCCTTCCAGTGTAAATATCTGGTGAGGAATGGATGTGAGCACCTCACCTCCCAGCTTGTGCTTTTTGTCACCTTTATACCGAGGAACATGTTCTGACAGATATTTCCACTACAGCTTCATGATGGGTATGAGACCCTCTTTCCTCTTTAGGAACATGTGGAAAAAAGTCATTTTCTACCATCTCCTTCTCCCAGTGCTAAGTTCTCTGTCCACTTCTTGCTTGCTTCTTTATTTATTAATGCTCAAGCAGAACAGGTAGGTTGCTCAGCTACAGCAAGTAAACACGGAATGGTTGATGTTTAAAATGGAAAATGGCTTTCAGTGGAAAGTCAACAGTCAAGCCCGTTCCTACCCACCGAACTAGACTTGAATGTTCTTGATTCTCACCGTCTATCAAAGTCATTCCTGCAGAATTATTGGTGGCCTAAGGGTGAAGATGTTCTCACCCCACTCAGAAGGTTGAAAGTTCGATCCTAGGCAGCGAATAGATTTCTCTATTTGGGCACAAAAAGAAAATATCTGCTGCAAACTCCACATAGGTGTCAGGAAGGGCATCTTGGCCAGTAAACACACAAATCTATTTTGTCACCCAGACTCCACCCCAATAAAAAGGGATTGCAGGATAGTAAAAAGAAAAAAAAAGTCCCATTTATGTAATTGTTCCATATTCACAAACTCAAACTGAGATTCTGTTTTAGCTAAGCAATTCATTGGGCTGCTAGAATTATAGTCACATACAGTATTTATTTTTAAAACATTTTTCGACGTAAGAAGTGATTTTTTTTAACCTTTTTTAAAAACTAAATTACAAACCTATTAGAGACCAAATCAAATGACAGCAACAGCAAAATATAACTAAGGCAAAGTAGTAATATGAACAAATATAGGTTTCCTTTTATGCTTTTGAACATTTCATTATTATTATCTGTCTCCTGAACAGATATTATTACTCCCTTTCCCAAATCATAAAATATTTTTTTGTCAAACATTTTATTGATTTTTTTAAAATGTAGGTTAACTAATCTCCCCCAATATTGAGTTCTTTCTATTGCTTTTCATCTTATTGTACCTCTCCAGTTTCATTTATGTTTTGGAGCTCTACTATTTTAAAACAATAACATGAAATTTCTTTCAAATTGAGATGGACTGTTTATGAATTCATGAACATACCACATAGTTTCCTCGGGAAAACTATGAAAATAGTACCTATCGGAGCTGCCGTCTCTCTATAAATACTGGTGGGGGGGTTGGTGTGCTGGGCTGGTTGGCTGTGCTGCTGCCTCTTGATTGGTTGATGCAGTTGATGTTGGTATAATGGGCTGTGTGATAGCCTTGTGAGTTTTGTTGTGGAGATATCCT